TCAGTAGGTCCTAGGCAAAACAAATCAGGCTCCTGTGCTCTTATAGTGGCAGAAATCGTGAAGAAGCGGCAGAAATAATTCAGCAGGTAGAAGACTGGCAGAGAAAAAAAGGCAGAGCAGAGGAAAAAAAATGTTTGGTAATGTTTGAAAACATTATGGATAACGGAGAGAGAGGAATGTAAAATTATAAGGATCTTAATCAAACATATTTGACCTCTGTGTAACTGGGGAGATACTTGAGAAAATGATCAAGTAAATGCAGTTTGAACATTAGTTGTGTTTTTTTCTGTAGAAGGAAGATAATGCAAACTCTGACATGGATTTTTGGATCAAACTGATGAATATTTACAGAATCATTTTCAGTGGGAGGTACAATTGCCATTATTTGCTCTATGTGTTTTTGGTAGGTGAGTCATAATCACCCGTTTGATTAGATCCGTGTGAGACACCTCCTGAAACAATGAAGGTAAGAGATGAAATTCCTCTTCCCCCTAAAGTTTTGAATATTTGGGACCCAGATATCTGATCCTTGATGTTTCTGGCGAAACTGAAGACTGACTGGTTCAGGATCTGGCTGCAGCAGCCAAATACTGAAGCTTGCTTATTTAAAAACCAAATGGCTTTGGCTTTGGCTCTCTCTACACCTGTGCCAGAGCAGGAAGGGTTAACTGCAAAAGTGTTTTCTTCTAAATTTCTTCTAGGTAAAGGTCAGCACCGAAATGAACAGCAAATGACAATATAACCAACTCCTTGTGAAATCTGCCCACTGGGGGATTTGGGGCCTTTCAGTGCTGAGATTATTGAATAACTCAGAACAAAGAATACCATGAGCCGTTGCAGAAATGGAGAAAGGAGCTGCACTGGAGGAAGAAAATACTGATCTTCACATCAAGTCTTTCTGGGAGTCTGCTAATTGTGCTCGTTCTCTCATTGAGCTCGAGGGACTGAATCCCCAATGCCTCGTGCACTCTGCAAACACACTTATTAAAGCAGGATCCCAAGACACAAGGAAAGGGAAAAAACCCAGTAAAACGGAGGGTAATTCTCCAGCTGCCCCCATCCCCGTGAGGATGAGGAGCTAAAAATGTTATATTTGTATATTAGGGAATGACAGCACACTTTAAAAAACAAAGATGTGACAACAGCCACAGAAGGCAGCTTTGGTGGAGCTGTAAGAATAAACCCTGCTCAGAGGGAATTCACTGCCGGGGTGTTCTACTCACCAGTTCCAGCTGCAGAGTAACTCCTCAGGGTCTTGAACATCCACTTTAATTAGGGTGGGGGGTTATTTGTGCTTTGCTGTTTATGCAAAGGGCAAAGTGCCTCCTGCTTTTTGTGCTCGCTCTCCTTTGGAACGGGCACGATGCCCTCAGGTAGCAACATTAGGAAGTGACTCTGACTTCAGAACCAATGAAGAAGGTCCTGATAAGGATAATTTTTGAAATTAAGTTGCTCTTTGGTCTTAGAATCCTACAATTGTCTAGATGGGAAGAGTTTAGAGATTGTTTATTTAATGTCCCTGGGGAAAGACAAGCCTTCGTACGGGGGGTGAGTGGCGTGAAAGGGAGCTGTGTTACAGAAACACCGCGGGTGAGCGGTTACTTCATTATTTCAGCTCCATCTTTTCGGGCAGTTCTCTGGTTAAGTCATAATTGTTTATTGCAAGTCAAATATTTTTCATTATTGAAGTGCTCCCTGACAAATCTGAAAGCGGCTTAAATGTTGGTGCAGCAGCCATGTATCATTTACCTGTTTCAAGTAGTTTTCCTCCAAATAATTGTGACTCAAACAGAATCACAGAATCACAGAATCACAGAATCTTCTAGGTTGGAAGGGACCTTAAAGATCATCTTGTCCAACCGTCAACCTGACTGACAAAAATAGACACCCACACAACAAACATCATCATCACTAAACCATACCTCCCAGCACTACATCACCGCGTCTTTTGAAACCCTCCAGGGATGGGGCCTCAACCGCCTCCCTGGGCAGCCCATTCCAGTGTCTGATAACCCTTTCAGTGAAAAAATTTTTCCTAATATCCAGCCTGAACCTCCCCTGGTGCAACTTGAGGCCATTTCCTCTTGTCCTGTCGCCTGTGACTTGGGAGAAGAGACCGACCCCCACCTCTCTACACCCTCCTTTCAGGGAGTTGGAGAGAGCAATAAGGTCTCCCCTCAGCCTCCTCTTCTCCAGGCTGAACATCCCCAGCTCCCTCAGCCTCTCCTCACAAGACTTGTGCTCCAGACCCCTCACCAGCTCCGTTGCCCTTCTCTCACTTCTGGAAAACTTTCTGTGTCACTCTAGGATGGGCAAGCGGGAAGGTTTTCCCAGTGTAAAAAGAGAAACTAAATCCTTTGTGCCGAATGCATTTCAATTCTGGATCTTTTTCAGGCTTGGTGACACCGAGCAGAGCTGGGAACTCCTGCTGTAAGAGGGAATTAACCTGCATAACGAGCGGCCCGTGGTTTTACTACACGGACTCACCGGGATTTACAGCAACCTCAGCCACAAATTAGGTGTGACTGACAGGTTTGTAGTTTGTGTTGTGTTGACTGATGGGTTTGGGTGGTGCTGAGTTTGGAGACAGAAGGTTTGCTATTATTAAGTGTAAACAGGACACCAGTAGAATTGGGTTGTTGGTTTTTTTTATGGGAAGAAAAGCCTTAGCTGTGAATTCTCACCTGAAAAGGCAGTTTTAAGCTTGAATTAACGTTAAAGGAATTAACAGGGTTTGGTTTTAACTTCGAAGTCACTTCTGGTCAAGGAAAGAAATGGCAACAAATAAATAAGGAGTAGCATTAATCAGGAGATTAGCATACAGGAGAGATGGGGAGGGACTCTGGATCAGGGAGGGGAGCCATAGGATGAGGGAGAAGGGTTTTAAACTGAAAGAGGGGAGATTTAGGTGAGATCTGGGGAAGAAATTCTTTGCTGTGAGGGTGGTGAGAGCCTGGAAGAGGTTGCCCAGAGAAGCTGTGGCTGCCCCATCCCTGGAGGGGTTCAAGGCCAGGCTGGATGGGGCTTGGAGCAACCTGGTCTGGTGGGAGGAAGAGGAAGAGTGACAAGAAGAAAAGGTGAAAACCCCCAAAGGGCCTCTGCTGGAACTCAGACCTGTGGAGTTTGGTGATAAAACCAGCCAAAAGCAACCCATTTTCCACACTTAGTACCGTTGCTGAAGAACTGCCTTTGAGAGGGGTTTTCCAACAGTGAAGCTCAGTGGTGGATCCTCCTTTCTTCAGCCTCAGAGCCAAGAAGTTCCTCCAGCTCCGGATGCAGAGACCATCTCCCCTCGGGGACCAGCAGAGGCTCCTCCAGTGGCTTCTACACCAACACCCAAACCCCAGAACTCGGTGGGGCTCCTCTCATCCCTTACCCTCAGGAAACAATTTGCAACTTTTCATGGTGAAATCAGCGTTTTGGTGTGAAATTCAAGCTGTCACACACAGGAGCAGCTTTCTGTGTAAGGAGGAGTATTCTGGGACACGTGGAGTCTTCAAAATATCCTCCTCAAGGCTGTGCAACATCACCCTTTGGTGGGTGACTTCTTTGATGAGAAAGCAAATGCTTGCACCAAGATACCTAAAAACTTTCAATCTATGAAACTCTCCAGAACTATGAAAAAACTCTTTAATTTGATGCAGTTTCCCCACCTGTTGCCCCAACAGTAACGCTCTTGGCGATTTACTCCCCGCGTCGCCACGAAAGCCCTGATTCTACCCGGGAAGACTCGCTCCGGGAAGTCACAAATCACCAGAAAACACAGGTTTACAAATTTTTCCATTTTGAAATTTATTTAGAACTCGGGGAGGGGGGGTTTAAGCGTGGTTTGAGTTTCCAATCGTCTGAGTGATCAGCATCCCCACGTCACTGCCACGGAAACGGCACCAATTCCCTCTGCCCTTTCCCCCTCCCTCCCCTGGAGAAACCAGTGGTGACAGCGGGTGGGTTTGCAAACCACACACTGCAGGACACTGCTGCCCTTCCTGAGTCTTCAACACCACCCTATCATATGTTAACCCAAAAAAAACCCAACAAAAAACACCAACAAAATGATTATTGAGAACTAAAGCAACTTTTTTACCCTACGGCCGAAGTACAGAATGATAAAACGCCGTGTATTTTAGCAGGAGATTGGGTTGGGATGGTTAAAAAGGGAGAGGGAAGGGAAAAAAAAACTCACCTTTTTAAACAGAAATGACTTCCTTTTTACTTTGATTTTAAACTAAGTCATTTTTAACTTCACGCCATTAACCTCATGACTTTTAAGGCGGCCAAAGACCTTCAAGGTCACTCGGGCTGAAGCACAGTTGGGACTTGTGGCCTTGAGCAACCTGGTCTGGTGGGAGGTGTCCCTGCCCAGGGCAGGGGGTTGGTACTAGATGATCTTTGAGGTCCCTTCCAACCCAAACCATCCTGTGATTCTATGACTAAAATCTCCCTGGGGGTATTCCCTGGCCTCCTAGGGAATTCCCAGCCTGGGGGGGGGAATCTCTGCTTCGTGGCTCTCTCTTTAGTGCTGGTTCTCCCCAAAAAATGAGTCACACAGGGCACCAAGGAGGGTCCCCCACCCGGGACATCAGGCAGCACCCAACTGCTCCCAAACATCCCCAGGTTAAACACCACAAATCGGGTCAAAGCCGGTGATGGGAGTGAACGTCACCTCCTCTCCCCGGTGTCCCTCACGCCCAGGGTGACATTTCACTTGTAGGAACCCAACTCCTCCACATGGATGCATCATCTACAGGATTCTATTAGTTTTTGTCCAGAAAAACCTCTCCAAAACCACATTTATGTTGATAAACACATTTAGGGGAGTTTCAGCCCTGGGCCCGTGGACAAAGAGGTCCCACCATCTCTGGGTGGGATCCTTCTCCACAGCAGCAGCAGCTGGAAATGCCAACTACACCCTTCCTGCATCATTCTTTATGACACCTTCCATTTATTCTCATTTACAGATGACTTTCGGCTCTTCAGGCTGCAGCCAAACAAAAAGCAACTTCTTGTCTCAAGTTTAATTTTATTATTATTATTTTTTTTTCCTTGATGGAACCTTGTTTTGAACAAAGAACTGATAGTGCAGGCAACTACCACGAGGTGACGTGTTCCACTCCGGCACTAGGGCAGTGGCTCGCCGATCCTTTTCCTCTAAAATATTCATAATAAAAACATTGAAAATACCTATGAAATTTATAAAACAGCTCCTTAAACATCTGCTTAATGCCCTTTCCTTCAAATAGAAAAGACCTCCGCGTTGCAGGGGCTTTGTCCGTGGATCCCAGGGGGAGGTAACAGAGGGGATAACTGCTGTCTTCTCGGGTCCTACCTTACAAAACGTCAACGAGCGCTACTCTAGAGATTAAATACAGACTTTACAATCACAACAAGAAAAAATAAAGCAGAACTGAAACCATATAAAATCAGTATCAGGTCAAGTGACAGTACATTAGGAATATATGTTATACAGGAGATAATATACACAGATTTTCACACTCGTTTTTTCCCCTTCAAAGCCACTGTCAGTAGGATCTTCCTGCACAGAGCAGTGACTCCAATGTTTGTAATTAATTACTAACAGGGAAAATTGGGGTTAGAAAAGCAAAGCGCATCAAGAACACCTTTACCTTTCCACGTGTCTACACTAGGATTTAAATTAAAAGCATTAAAAGCATTAAGCATTCTCCTACATCCTCCGCTTCCAGCCCGCACAGAACGGCGCTGTCATTACACAGACCTCGGCCCCCGTTGGTGTGACCACGCTCCAGGACAGCCCCCTCACAACCCAGATGAAGTTCAGATGTTTAGAAACTTTAACAAGGAGAAAAAAAGTCAGAAACCCTAAAACCAGCTACTCGTATTGAACGATAATTACCTTTTAGAGAGCGTTAAGACTAAACTCCGGCGTTTTCTACGGTGGTTGGGATGAAAAGCAAAAAAAGTTCTAGCGCACCTAAAGGATAAGGCGTAGCCATCTACTAATTGGCAGATTGGTTTATTTGTCTCAGTTTGTGAAAAGGTCCTTATTGGTGTCAAGCAGCAAAAACAAACTTTCAACGGAAGGATTGCTATTCTGCAAAAGGCCTGAAGGCGCCCGCCTCCGCAGCGACCCTCACAGCTCCCCACAGCACACACGCAACATGCTATCTGGAAAAAAGGGACTAACTCAACTACATGTATTAAATACTGAAAAAAGTTTTACATTTCGTGGTTTTTTTTGTTTGGTTTTTTTTTTTTTTTTGTTTTTGTTTTTAATTATAATTTATTTTTTATTTAACAATCTAAGAAGTTTGCAGCCATCAGAAGTTCCAGTGCAATTTCAGGTGCGATGGGGAATTCGGGAATCTCCGTGGAGCTGTTAGTATAGCGGACCTTGTAGGTGAAATACATGCAGACTTTGGATAGGACATGGGATGGGATCTCTCTAAAATTCACCTCGTTTGTCTCATTTTCTGCAAACTGTCCTGTAGGAGAAAAAAAAACAACAACAACATAAACACCAAACCAAACATCAGAATCTTGATTTGCTGCAAAATTAAACGCTTTTACCACAGAATCATAGAAACACAGAAAGGTTTGGGTTGGAAGGGACCTTAAAGACCATCCAGTTCCAACCCCCTGCCCTGGGCAGGGACACCTCCCACCAGCCCAGGTTGCTCCAAGCCCCATCCAGCCTGGCCTTGAACCCCTCCAGGGATGGGGCAGCCACAGCTTCTCTGGGCAACCTGGGCCAGGCTCTCACCACCCTCACAGCAAAGAAGTTCTTCCTGAGATCTCACCTAAATCTCCCCTCTTTCAATTTAAACCATTCCCCCTCGTCCTATCACCTACACTCCCTGATAATATATACCACTCCCATGATATATATATTGAGGTATTGTCTTTATTACAGTTGCAAAGCATCCTTTTTTTTGCTTTGTTTTTAATTTTCAGTGACCTTTCCTAGTTAACTTTTCCAGTTCTGGTTCTTCAAAGGGAAATGCAAAGCCCCACATCTTGGGAACTATAGAATGGTTTGGGTTGGAAGGGACCTTCAAGATCATGGAGTTCCAACCCCCTGCCCTGGGCAGGGACACCTCCCACCAGACCAGGTTGCTCCAAGCCCCATCCAGCCTGGCCTTGAACCCCTCCAGGGATGGGGCAGCCACAGCTTCTCTGGGAAACCTGGGCCAGTGTCTCACCACCCTCACAGCAAAGAATTTCTAATAATCCCCAAAACTACAACCCTCAAGAACATTAACATTACAAAATATTAATTTTGGCTGCAGCCAATTGACAATACTCTGAACAACCACTCCACAAATGTAGGGTTCATGTTGATTGTTGCTTGAGAGCTGCTCCGAAACTGTCCTGGGCTCAGTTCTAAGGGTCACAGCAACAATGTTTTAATTAAAATAATAATAAAAAAAAGCAGTATCCATCCAAATTTCTAGCTGTCTTATAAGAAAGAAAGGGTGTACAGATGTTCTGTCCCTGCATATGCAGTCCTTCCTGTGATCCTGCTCTGCATTTCTCGGCCAGTTTCAGTCAGATTTGAGAGAGGGTTGAAACCTCAAAGAGCCATTAACTGGATACACTGGGAAAACAGGGAGGGGAGAGGGACAGGGAAACCTACTCGTGCTGCAGGGGAGGTCACCTGCAAGTGCAGTTCATCCCCCTGAGATACTGATGAATTTATCCAATGCTGAATTCAGTCTCAAAACACAATTACATTTGAAATGATCACCCAGTCCAACCCCCTGCCAGAGCAGGGTCACCAAGAGCAGGTCCCACAGGAACGTGTCCAGGTGGGTTTGAATGTCTCCAGAGAAGGAGACTCCACCACCTCCCTGGGCAGCCTCTGCCAGGGCTCTGCCACCCTCACAGCAAAGAAGTTCCTCCTCATGTTTAGGTGGAACTTCTTACATTCAAGTTTGTGGCCATTGCCTCTTGTCCTGTCCCTGGGCACCACTGGAAAAAGCCTGGCCCCATCCTCCTGACACCCACCCTTTCAGTATTTATAGGTGTTGATCAGATCCCCCCTCAGTCTTCTCTTCTCCAGACTAAACAGACCCAAGTCCCTCAGCCTCTCCTCATCAGAGAGATGCTCCATTCCCTTGATCATCTTCATGGCCCTCCCCTGGACTCTTTCCAGCAGTTCCCTGTCCTTCTTGAACTGGGGAGCCCAGAACTGGTCCCAGTGCTCCAGATGGGGCCTCCCCAGGGCAGAGCAGAGGGGCAGGATGACCTCCCTCCACCTGCTGGTCACACTCTTCCTGATGCCCCCCAGGATGCCCTTGGCCTTCTTGGCCACAAGGGCACATTGCTGGCTCATGGGCATCCTGTTGTCCACCAGGACTCCAAGGTCTCTCTCTGCAGAGCTGCTCTCCAGCAGGCCAGTCCCAACCTGTCCTGGTGCAGGGGGTTATTCCTCCCCAGGTGCATCCAGTAACTCTAAACCTTCCACCATGGAGAGGGCAATGAAAAGCTGCCAACTCTTGGATTTGAGTAGAACACCATCAAGTTGTCCTACCAGGGGAAACCAGTACTAATGACGCTGTAAGATCATTAACTGTCCACAAGCAGAGACCAGTTATACACCTGGTGGCACCACACCCCACTGAGGCAGGGTGTTCCACTGGGAACAGGAACTGGGCAGGGTCTGGAAAAGTTATCATTTATTCCAACTTTCACTCAATATAGATTCAAAGCGCCCCAAAGAGAGAACAAAGGAGGTGAAGGCACTAAACCTTTTGTACCCACCTGGTCCACTCAACATGGCTTTTATCGTTCCTGATGTTAAGGCATGCTCTCTTTTGACAATGAACTCGTGCCCATCGGAGGATATTAACTTCACATACATGGCGTCCGGGCCCTCGCACCCGCCGTACGTCTTCTCTTCTCCATCTGCAACAGAAACACAGGAACAGGTTCAGGACTCACAGCCACATCTTACTTACAGACATCTCTCCTCTCTCATTTCTCCATCACCAAATTCTGACCTGATTTCTGAAATCTAAATAGGGATGAAATTTTCCTTTAGACCTTCTCAAGTGAATTGAACATGCTCCTGCTTCCCTCCATGAGGCTATTCCTACATTTATCATACTGGTACTTATTAAAAGTTACCTAAATGTATATTTTACAATCATAGAATCACCTGGGTTGGAAGGGACCTTTCAGATCATCGAGTCCAACCATCAACCCAACACTGACAAAACCCATCACTAACCCATGTCTCTAAGCACTATGGCTGCCTGGCTTTTAAATACCTAATCTCTGATATTTAAAAGACACGCTGCAAATGAAAAAAAAAAACCAACAAAGTGCTTTTTGATGCATGGGTAAGACAGGCTGAGAGAGTTGGGGGGGTTCAGCCTGGAGAAGGGAAGGTTTTGGGGAGACCTTAGAGCCCCTTCCAGTCCCTCAAGAGGCTCCAGGAGAGATGGGGAGGGACTCTGGATCAGGGAGGGGAGCCATAGGATGAGGGGGAAGGGTTTTAAACTGAAAGAGGGGAGATTGAGATGAGATCTCAGGAAGAAATTCTTTGCTGTGAGGGTGGTGAGAGCCTGGCCCAGGTTGCCCAGAGAAGCTGTGGCTGCCCCATCCCTGGAGGGGTTCAAGGCCAGGCTGGATGGGGCTTGGAGCAACCTGGTCTGGTGGGAGGTGTCCCTGCCCAGGGCAGAGGGGTGGAACTGCATGATCATTAAGGCCCCTTCCAACCCAAACCAGTCCATGAGTCTATGAAATTTGGGAATCCCCCCTGCAGCACTTTTGACTATGCTTTTTCTGTTCCCTTCTCCCTCAGCACCATCAGACACCAGAACACCAAGACAGCTCTCTCTGCAGTCATTCTTTATATGTTCCTGTAAACTCTTCAGTAATAACGACTGCAGTAATATTCACATTTTTTTTTAAAAAATGAGTGTAAAAAGCACCCACCCCGCTGAATATACAATTCCTATCAAATTCAAACTGGCAAGTTAACACCTTCTTTCAAGTACTTTATTTTCTAAGGAGCTAACATAACAAGTATTGCTAGAATTCCATTAAAAATACTTTAATTTGTCACTGCACATAAAACTTGATTTTCAGAATGGTATTAATCTTGACAGAAAGTTAAAAATTTAAGTCCTGGAAGTTCTTCCAGTTTGGAAAAGCATAACAGAGAGATCTGTATGCTGCTAGACAAGTAATATACTGCCAGCATTTCATGACTGTATGCAGAAGTATAGAGGATAAAACAGATATAGACTACAAACTTGACATTCAATTGCTAGTGTTGTTTCTCCTTCTGACAAAACAAAGAACAGAAACCATACTAATTATATTAAAATAAATACCTTTCATGTTATCTAGTGTTATAGCAAATATAACCTTCCCCAATCAACTAAGTCACTTTGTGAATTTCAAGTTAAAATTGAATGATCACATAGTTATTGCCAATTTTAATAAAGTACTGCCAGTGCCAAACATGCTGAGATACTTTCTGAAGTACCAATAAAAACAGAGTCTGTCCCATCACGTTTCATTAATCAGGCCTTTGTAGAGGCAGAAAGGACAGTTGCAGACATTTCATCAGATCACACACACACACAATGTAATTTACCAGAAATCAGTCCTTATTATGACCTCTTTGCTAGAATTCAACAGGCCAACCTTAGTTAACAAACAAAAAAATATTTAAAACAGTACAGAGCAAAATTTTCTTGTCCGCTACCTAAAAGTTTAGTGCTAGAAAAGCCTAAAGGCATCTGATTTTGGTGTGTGTGAAGTGAAAAGTGAAATTTCTCGTTAGACAGATGGACTCTGAATAAATCTCTTGACAAACGAAGAGTCACTGGATAAAATCTTCCTAAAAACCATCTGTAGGAAGTTCCATTAACTTTTGAGACTGCAAGAAAACCAGTGAGAAGATCAACATTTAAACTCTTACCCCCACCTCTAAGAGGATGAACTTACCCATTCTCTTCTTATAAAAAAAAATTCTTTCTTTTCAACAGCAGTTCTTGCAGCAGGAGCGTCTGAAAAAAAACACAAGTGGGAATATTTTGAGTCAGTGGTACAATTTCTGAAGTCAGCTTTAGTTATTTTATGTTTTGAAACTTATCTTTGCTATCCAGAGATCCCTACCATAGTCAAGAATCTTTGTATTTTAGCTCACTTTGTAAAAAAGTTGTTTCCTTAAGCTTTTTAAAGGCCCTTGACTATAATGCTGAGTTATTTCAAGAGCCTATGACTTTCATCACTACAAACCCCGTCCATGGGACAGGAGTGGGGAGGTAACGAAAGCAAGTTTTGCCAACACTGGAAAAGGCACTTAAGAGACCAAATGGATCATCTACAGAAAAAGATTAAGAAGTGAGAGAAGAGTTGACAATGCTGTGAATAGAGGAGTGGCTGTCCTGCCCTTCAGAGGGACCTTGGCAAGCTGGAGACATGGGCCATCAGGAAACATCTTCAAAGGAAGGAAAGGAAAATTTCTTCAAAGGGAAATGCAAAGCCCCGGATCTTGGGAATCATAGAATGGTTCGAGTTGGAAGGGAGAGGGAAATGCAAAGCCCCGGATCTTGAGAATCACAGAATGGTTTGGGTTGGAAGGAACCCTAAAGATCACCCAGTTCCACCCCGCTACCACTGGCAGGGACACCTCCCACCAGACCAGGTTGCTCCAAGCCCCATCCAGCCTGGCCTTGAACCCCTCCAGGGATGGGGCAGCCACAGCTTCTCTGGGCAACCTGGGCCAGGCTCTCACCACCCTCAGGCACCAGGGTCTCACAAACCCCAGGCACCAGTACCAGCTGGAGGCCAACCTGCTGGAAAGCAGCTTTGCAGGAAGAGACCTGGGGATGCTGGTGTACACCAAGTTGAACATGAGCCAGCAAGTGGCCAACAGCACCCATGGCTGTGTTAGGAGAAATGTTGCCAGCAGGTCGAGGCAGGTGGTCCTGCCCTCCACTCAGCAGTGGTGGGGCCCATCTGGAGCACTGGGCCAGCTCTGGGCTCCCCATTACATGCCAGACTGAACTGAGTCTTCCAGAGGACCACAAAGTTGACCAAGGAACTGGAGCACCTGTGATGGGAGAAGAGGCCAAAAGAACTGGGGCTGGTCAGACTGGAGAAGAGGAGGCTCAGGGATCAGTCTAATCAGCGTGCGCTAAATACCTGGTCTCCAACCTGTCCTTCCTAGAAGATTGACAGTTCCTGATACACCACCAATGTCACCTAGATAATCTTCTTCAGACGTGTGGCCAACAGCACCCATGGCTGTGTTGGGAGGAATGTTGCCAGCAGGTCAAGGCAGGTGGTCCTGCTCTCCACTCAGCAGTGGTGGGACCCATCTGGAGCACTGGGCCAGCTCTGGGCTCCCCATTACATGCCAGACTGAACTGAGTCTTCCAGAGGACCACAAAGTTGACCAAGGAACTGGAGCACCTGTGATGGGAGAAGAGGCCAAAAGAACTGGGGCTGGTCAGACTGGAGAAGAGGAGGCTCAGGGATCAGTCTAATCAGCGTGCGCTAAATACCTGGTCTCCAACCTGTCCTTCCTAGAAGATTGACAGTTCCTGATACACCACCAATGTCACCTAGATAATCTTCTTCAGACATTTAAGGTGGGTACTCACATGGTTAGTTAACCAGGAGCTTCCACAGCTTATAACCTGACATCCAGGTCGTAGTGCAAGTATTTTGCCATGTAAATGAAGCCAAACACTTAGAGAAATGGAAGCACTCATTTGCAAAACAAATCCAGTATCTTCAGATAACAAAACCCCACAACAACAACAAATATTGTTTTTTTTTTTTTTTGTGTGGTTGGACTGAGTTATTGCAAAACAAATCCAGTATCTTCAGATACAATATCTGCTTCTTTACACTGAACTGGATGATCTTTAAGGTCCCTTCCAATCCGAACCATTCTACGAACTGCATCCCTGCTGTGGCAAAGAAAACTTTGGAAGAGCAATTCCACCCACTGACTCGCTGTCCTGCAATCCCCTTCCTGTCAACAGCGACTCTCCAAACATTAACCCCTACAAATCAATGAACTGTACAATGTTGTGTACCCCCCGCTCCAGGAAAACACCACCCGTGATTCTGGGTGGTTTCCCAGCAGATATCCAGGGTCGGGGGAGACTGTTAGGAATTTAGGAATTCTGACAATCCTTGTAATTGTTGTGAAAAGCAGCAAGCAACAGCAGAGGCACAAACTGCGATTACTCACTAGAGAAGGACCCCAGAGCAGGAGGGGTGACTAGAAACCACTCCCCCCATCCCCTCCCTCCCGTGTTTCTGGTAAAAGCTTAGGAAAAAATGTAAGGAAGTTGAGGAGGGAGCTGCAATATCTGGAGGAAGTTTTACAGAGGCCTCTCCACCTCTTCAGAAGATGCAGCTTCTTTGCTGTTGCCGAGAGCTTCACTCCTCAGCAGCACTTTGGGGCTGATTTGCTCCATCTCCCTTGTCTCATAACTACAAATATGCCACAGTTTGAATGTTTCTCAAGTTTTTACAAGAAGGGACATTCATAGAATCATAGAATTGCCCAGGCTGGAAGGGACCTCCAAAGGCCATCTAGTCCGACCCCCCCGCAGTCAGCAGGGACACCCCCAACTAGACCAGGTTGCCCAGGGCCTCATCAAGCCTCACCTTGAATATCTCCAGGGAAGGGGCCTCAACCACCTCCCTGGGCAACCTGTTCCAGTGCTCCACCACCCTCCCAGTGAAGAACCCTCTCCTCATCTCCAGTCTAAATCTGCTCCCCTCCAGCTTGAACAGATTGTTGACTTGAACATTGTTACGTTCACCCCTTCAAACTGCACACACACCAGCAGAACCATTCTATGATCAACAGTTTCCAGTTGTCTGTGGAGATCTGAGCAAAAAGCATCCTCCACTTGCACTGCTGGCTTTGAAAATTATCCCGACTTTACAGAAATCTTATAAAATATTTTCTTTCCCCACTGGTATAAGGAACATCTTCAGCTGTACTTTTACAGGTGAAAAGTTCCTGCATGTAAGGCACATTCAAAAATACCCTTGGAGAGTTAACTTGTGAACACTGTCACAGAGATACCTTAATAGGGAGTGCTAAATGCCTTCCCCATTTTCAGTAACTCCAGGAACCCATCCAAGGAAATTCATTTGGGTGCCTGAAGAGTTGCAGCACAAAACCCACGGGACCTTTCACCCCATTTCAACAGTTTTTGTCAACACGAAATCAAGAAGGAGGATGACTTGTGCTACCTCTTTCTCCAGCCACAAAGCCCGTCCCTACATTCCAGAAGAGCAGTGAAACCTCTTATGATTCATAAATAAGAATAATCTAAAAAAAATACAGACAAAGTGATACCATTTCGTGGAAGTACTGGTGACAATAAAATGTGCTTTGGTTTCCAACATAAATAATGCCACTAAATACAAGACTAAAGACAGGCTAGTTAGTGGGAATTGAAATATCTTAACACCTTGCAAGGTGAAAGAACAACTTGAGGAGGCCCTGGAATAACTTGACCCTGGGGACTGAAAAAATGTCTACACCAAAACATTAGAGCTGTCCCAAAACACTGCAACGAGCATTTTAATAAAATCAAATGAAATGTGCTATCACACGATTAGAGAGAAAAAATAATAATACTACAGTAGTTAACACTTAAAGAAGAAAAAAAATAAAATGCTCTGTGGTCTGAATTCAATCATTTTAAAAAGGAAAACAGCATAAAAAGGCAGTAAGAATGAGCAGATTTAGGACACGCCAGACTAATCCACAACCCAAAAACCAAATCAGTCATTTCCTTGAAAAAAGGAAACTCAAACAAGATGCAATCTGGCCTCAGTATATCATCTCAGGTTAAATAAACGTGAGAAGAGCACAATCTTAAAAATGAGAAAGAAACTTTCTAGAAGAATACAGTATGATGTGGGAAACATGGAACAACTGGACTAGAAAACAACTAGTTCCTCCAAAAATTATACTGAACTTTTTTTTGTGGTCAACTATAAACTGATGCTGCTCTGTAGGGACAAAAAAGACCCAACCAAGGGTGGGGGGAAGAGACAAATGCACATCAAGGATTTCTTTGCAATAGAGATAGGGAAATGTTGTTCACATGAGCAACAACTTCTCTGGAACACCACACACAACGCTGAGTTCCTGGTTGCAAGAGAAAGAATTTCTAATTCCAAGAACTACAGAAAGGACCTAGACCAAAGAGCCTGTTGTATAAAAGAAAAATTAGTTTTGCTTCCTCAGCTTAGCAAAATAAAACCGAACAGAAATATAACGATTCATTAAAAAGATAAACATCAAAGAGGGAGATGTGTGCCAATATTAGTCCTCAGTTTAAGTCCAGCAAATGAATATAAACTGAATGAAGAGTGAAATTTATACTGCTATTCCGGAATCCAGGTCTGGTTCTGAATATAGAACAAAACTAACATTCTACAGCCAAAAGGAAAACATGCAGAAAGCCTGCCTGCTTTTAAGAAAAAGAAATTGTGCATTCTATTAAATGATGCATTTGACGTGTACGCAAGGGACACAGCCTGGTTTCACTCAATCTCTGTTCTGATAGAGGTGTGGCATTTATGATAAAAAAAAAAAAAATATCTAAAAAGATAACCGTGACTATTATGAGAAGTATAGATTAAGTCCTGACAAAATACAAACACCAGAGAGCACAGAAAAATTATAGAGTCAATAAAATTAAAAATCTAAAAAGATAACTGTGACTATTATGAGAAGTATAGATTAAGTCCTGACAAAATACAAACACCAGAGAGCACAGAAAAATTATAGAGTCAATAAAACCAAAGAGGAGAGAAGGAAAGAAAAACAAGAAACCTGGGAAATCTGAAAACCCTAAAAAAAAAAAAACAGTAATTACTTGTTAGTATATTGGTTCCTCTTCTGGATCAAGAAGTGCTCAGTGTGTCCTGACACTTTATGAAGATTAGAAGATACTGCAGTTCAAAACTATTACTTTGTGAAATTCATCTGCTTCCCAGCAACTACTCTGGAGTTATCCAAGCCAGCATTAACATCATCTTGCGCAAGCCTCAGCCTGTTTTGTCAGTCAACTATCTTATTGCTTCAGAAGTTTACCAAAAAGTAAGTGGGAAGAACAGAAGAAACACACCTGAAAAACTGGCACAGAAAACATGCAACATTTTGGTTTATTTATTTTTGATAGAAACCTTGATTTGTGATTTAACATCCCACAAAACCAGAAAAAAAAAAAAGTCCATAGAAAAATGAGACAGACGAAGGATGGAGAAATCCCTGCTACACACTGGTTAGTGCTTGTGTGCACAGTAAGAGTAGAGGGACACTTTTTTTTAATTCAAGGATCACCTCCTCCAAGCTCAGGATAGAAATCCCTGCCACACACTGGTTAGTGCTTTGTGCACAGTAAGAGTACGGAGGGACACTTTCTTTTAATTCAAGGATCGCCTCCTCCAAGCTCAGGAGAGGTGCATCCCAAGAAAGAAGAATGGAAGATACCTTAAAGACCATCTAGTTCCAAGCCCCCTGGCCTGGGTTGCTCCCCAGACCAGGTTGCTCAAAGCCCCATCCAGCCTGGCCTTAAACACTTACAGGAGTCGGCTTTCTTAAAATGCCTGGAAACTATCTGTATTTCTTTACTTTTATTACCTGGCAACCCCAGGCACAAATACAGGGTGGGTGGAGAATGGACTGAGAGCAGCCCTGAGGAGAAGGACTTGGGGATGGTGGTGGACGAGAAGCTCAACATGAGGTGGCAACATGAGCTGGCAGCCCAGAAAGCCACCCCCATCCTGGGCTGCATCCCCAGCAGCGTGGCCAGCAGGGCCAGGGGGGGGTTCTGCCCCTCTGCTCCGCTCTGGGCACACCCCACCTGGAGCTCTGTGTCCAGCTCTGGAGTCCTCAGCACAGGAAGGACAGGGACCTGTTGGAGCGGGGCCAGAGGAGGCCACGGAGATGCTCAGAGGGCTGGAGCCCCTCTGCTGTGAGGACAGGCTGAGAGAGGTGGGGGGGTTCAGCCTGGAGAAGAGAAGGCTCCGGGGAGACTTTAGCGCCCCTTCCAGTCCCTCAAGGGGCTCCAGGAGAGATGGGGAGGGACTCTGGATCAGGGAGGGGAGCCATAGGATGAGGAGAAACAGTTTTAAACTGGAAGAGGGGAGATTGAGATGAGATCTGAGGAAGAAATTCTTTGCTGTGAGGGTGGTGAGACACTGGAAGAGGTTGCCCAAAGAAGCTGTGGCTGCCCCATCCCTGGAGGGGTTCAAGGCCAGGCTGGATGGGGCAACCTGGTCTGGTGGGAGGTGTCCCTGCCCGTGGTAAGGGGTTTGAACAATCTTTAAGGTCCCTTCCAACTCTAACCCTCCTATGAGTTTATGATTTTCCAATACTCTGTTTATTGCAAAACATGTCAGTATATTTTCTTTCTGTATAATGCAAACAATATAAATGACAACATTTGCCAAGACAGCAGGACAAGTGAGATTTCTGAAGATGCCTGGTAACTATCTGCATTTTTATTACTTTTCCATGTTTTATAGCTGCCCCTGTCTGACTTCCCCAGGACTCCACCAATGCAGCAGTAAGCAAGAGAACAATCCAAGTTTTCTGAACACTCATTTGCCTTTTTTATTATATATTTCTGACCTGAGTATTTCAGATTCCTGCAAAGAACCACTAGTTTTTGTTGAACTACATTCACAACTCCATTTCTCCTTGAAGAGGCTTATGTGGCATTACCAATCAGGCAGCTCAGCTCCCTGCCTTACAACTCCGAGAAGAAATACGCCGGCACAGTGTGTTTGATCTCTTTCCTGCTTCTCTTGAGCATCACGTGCAAGAAAAAAAACCAGATGAAGCACATCCGTGACCTTCTCACCTCCCCTCCCAAAGCTGTGTGCTCATCTCCCAAGCTTCCCAGAATTTCCAGACTATCATTTCCTTGTTAATTTTGTATGTTGATGAGACCGGAATAGATTTGAAGGTCATACGTTAATTTCAGTGAATACACGCAACCACCACACAGATTCTAGAACCCCATTGTTTTATTCTGGTTAGCACGAGACAATTAAATCTATGCAAACATTTCAAGCACTCAGATTCTTTGATCCCACAGAAATCTCTTTAAAAACTCACATTCTGGTCTAAGGAAACTCAAACCAGCTTCCAAGTCATTAGTTGCACAAGGCACACACAGCCTTTGTGTGCTTCAGCTGGTGACATTTCTGTATTCTACACTATCGAGTTTCCGAAAACATGGGGCAAATAAAACAAATGCTTTCACAATTCCTAGGTTAGTTAAAAAGCCAAATGTGACATTTTCTGGGTACCACTTGTATATATTAGTTCAGCAGTAAACAAAGGCTGTTGTGTGTTAAAACAGCAGCCTCCTACTGTTCAATCCTAAATTCTAGTCCTGTTCTCGATCCTATACACTAACTTGTTAAAAACACCGCTCTTCAGTTTAGCATTTGTTGTTCAGTATGCATGAAAAAATAATTCATATAAATAAGGATTGAAGCATATTTAGAAAAAACACAAAGGAAAACCAATATGGTGTGATTTCCAAATCAGCTGATTCCCTATTCTGTACTCGGGGGCACTCAATCCAGCCATTGAGGGGCAGACTGCAGAGTGACAGGAGGGTGTGACGCAGCTGAAGGCTAATTAAGATAAGCAGGAGATGAGGAAGGATATCGGGTACGGACTATCAAAGATCTCACATAAGATGGTCTCCTACTATCTAAGGGAACTTTCCTTTTCAGTAATTCCCAAGAAGTTTTAAGGGGAAAAAAGTGTTACTGTTTTCTTCCTAACATAAAAGCCCTGTATTGTATATGTCTCACCGTGCTCACATATTGCAAGATTTTATAAAACAGAGCTTTCTGCCCTCTCGTTATAAGCACCTATCAAACACTACTGTTATGCAAACTACCCCAAAATAAAGATAATTTCAATTCTGAACATTTATAGGTGCAAGAGAACTTGTCAAAATACATAAAAATTCCTTTATTTTAATCTGACAAAACCCACACTTTTAATGACTAAACTTAAGGGTTTCTTGTAGTATACACTGAGAATTGCACAAAGGCACTAAGACACCTGAAGCTAAGTATCCTTTTGAAAGATATTAATTTACCCCCCCACAAAGCAGAAGGGACAGAAGCATGAACACAAATGTATCAAGAAAAGAAATACAAGGTTGGGAGACAGGAGGTACCTGAGAGAACCTCCTCACCATACCAACACTGAGTCTTCTCATCAAGGCTACATGAAACTACCTATATCTGTTCATCACCCAGTATAGAAAAAAAGAAAGATTTTTCTCTGACACAAGAAAAAAAAATCTAAATACTGAAGTACTCAAAGTTTCTAAAGACTATCTTAAAGCTCCCAATGTTGGGGAAAATGTTAGCAAAAATTTTATCGATGGAACTTAAGCACATGAAAAGGCTGATCTCAAGGTATGAGGTGTGCACCACGTGCGCAGAAGTGGTAGACAATGTATTATAGAAAAACCAATTAGCATTTATTCCCCCTCTAAGCAACTCTTCAGTCAATAAATATTATTTCTCTCCCAACAGTATCTTTTTGTCCCTAGTATATGTGAGAAACCAGATGTGAGAACCGACAGTATAGCAAAAGAAGGAAACTGGAGCACGTAAGAGGTTAGCCACGTGCATTATAGAAAAACTAATTAGCATTTATTCCCCCTCTAAGCAACTCTTCAGTCAATAAATATTATTTCTCTCCCAACAGTATCTTTTTGTCCCTAGTATATGTGAGAAACCAGATGTGAGAACCGACAGTATAGCAAAAGAAGGAAACTGGAGCACGTAAGAGGTTATTCAGAAATAAGCGCACAAAGTGATTCTCATTCTAAAAGTCTCTCATTATCTATGTTTTTCTGGCTTGTTTCCAAATGGAACTTCTGCAAGTTATCTTCAGCAAACCCAAGTAAACAAACGGCCCATGACTATCTAAGTCTCCCTGCAGTACGTGGCTCAACTTGCAATCTACAGCATTAAAGATCTTTAATCCTTTAATAAAGCTCCTGTGCGTAGTATTACACGGTGTGAGATTAAACCAGCCGTCAAAGTTAACTGCTAGTATTGCCATTTTCATACATATATCTGAAGCCATCAATAACTTACCCATGTTCGGGTTCCCTCATGCTAAAGCAGAACCTCCTCTCTGAGGAACAGACAGAGCTCAAATGCTAATTTTTCTTCCTACACCTAAGTGTGTCACCCTTTTCCGTCAACCTCGCTTTGCTGATGTTCCTCGCCCCTGACAGCTAAAGCACTTTAACCAGCACTTCTCACCTTGGTGTAACAACCCCTGGGGGTGCATCCTAAATTCTTTCGGCCTTAGTTTTTCCCCCTCTCTCTAGGGCCGGGCGTGGGAAGAGGGTGGACGTCATTTGCGGCGGAAAAAACTTTAAAAGCGGTATTTAATTAAGTAAAAACAACCCAAAAAGCCGTTCCGGAAAGCCCCCTTTCCCGGCGGCGCCAGGATTTCAAGGAGACGGCTGCACTCCCGCAGGCAGAGCAGAGAAACGCGCCCTGGGCCCCCGTCCCGGCGGGGGAACCCCAACCTGGCTCCGCACCCCACCACACAAACCCTCCCCGCGTCCCCACGCCGCTCCAAAGCCCCTCGGCTCCACCGCCCGCCTTCCTGTCCAGCTCCCCCCGGCCTCTGGCAGCCGGGGAGGGGGGGGGAGCGCGGCGCGGAGGCCGAGGCCCGCTCCCCTCCGAGGGGCAGGCCCCGGGAGCTCCCTCTTCCTCATTTCCCACCCGCCTCGCTCCCTCTCTCGACGGCGGCGGGGTCTCGCCGCCCACGAGCGGAGCCGTCCCCCGCCGCCCCCGCGGGCACTCACCCGGCAGCGCCGCTCCCTCCGCCCCGCTCGCAGGGCCCCCGCCGCCTCGGGCCAGCTGCCTCACAAGCACTTCCGGCAGGATCAAGGGGCACTTCCGCTCTGGGGCCAGAGCCTCGGCAGGCGTGTGGGCCCCCCCCCGCCCCATCCCCGACTCCCGGCATGCTGTGCGGCGGGGAGCGGTGCATGCTGGGGCGCGTAGTTCCTAGGGGCAAGGTGTCGGTCCGCCATGTTAGGAGCGGGGCGGGGGAGATGGTGGGAAGGGGGCTGCCCGGGCGCTGGGTGCTGCCGGCGGCTGGGGTCCTGGGGGTCCGCGGGTCCTAATTGTGCAGGTTCTAATTGATTGTCACAAAGATACTCCGAGGGCTGGAGCCCCTCTGCTGTGAGGACAGGCTGAGAGAGTTGGGGGGGTTCAGCCTGGAGAAGAGAAGGCTCCGGGGAGACCTTAGAGCCCCTTCAGTGAGGGCATCAGCACATACGTTGCTGGCTCATGACCATGTAGCTCATGTGTGTCTGTAGCCAAGAAGGCTGATGATGGTCTCCCAGCGTGAATCAGGAAAAGCATGGCCAGCAGGTGGAGGGAGGTCATCCTGCCCCTCTGCTCTGCCCTGGGGAGGCCCCATCTGGAGCACTGGGTCCAGTTCTGGGCTCTCCAGTTCCAGAAGGACAGGGAACTGCTGGAGAGGGGACAGCAGAGGGCTACAAAGATGATGAGGGGTCTGGAGCATCTCTCTGATGAGGAAAGGCTGAGGGACTTGGGTCTGTTTAGTCTGGAGCTGACTGAGAGGGGACCTCATCAATGCTGAGCAATATCTAAAGGGTGGGTGTCAGGAGGATGGGGCCAGGCTTTTCTCAGTGGTGCCCAGGGACAGGACAAGAGGAAACGGGCACAAACTGGAACAGGGGAAGTTCCATCTCAACATGAGGAGGAACTTCTTTCCTGTGAGGGTGGCAGAGCCCTGGCAGAGGCTGCCCAGGGAGGTGGTGGAGTCTCCTTCTCTGGAGACATTCAAACCCACCTGGACACGTTGCTGTGGGACCTGCTCTGGGTGACCCTGCTCTGGCAGGGGGTTGGACTGCGTGATCTCCAGACGTCCCTTCCGACCCCGTATCGTTCTGTGATTAATTCTGCTCTTCCATCTCCCTGCCCGTGGCGGGGGTGTCGGAACGAGCCGGTCCTGACGCTCCCTCCCCCCTCCATGAGCCCATCATGGCCGGGCGGGGGCGCGCCGGAGCCGGCCGGGCCTTTCCTACCGGCGGAACCAAACGGCGGGGCTGCGGCGGCGGCCGGTCCCGGTTGCACCCTCCCGGCTCTCTCCCTCTTTCCTCCGGCCGCTGCGGGGACGCGGCCCGACATGCTGCTCCTGCTGCGGGCCGCCGGCTGCCGGCCTGCGTCCGCCGCC